TTTTTTTTTTTTTGACTTCTCTCCTGATCTGATTTTTCACACACAATAACTCGTGGGCTAGAAAGACACAAATGACAGTTGCGCGGTGGGCTAACTGACAGAAAGGTTTTTGGCAATTAATGGGAAACACTGTATAAGCTTGTTAAATGGTCATAAAATGAGCTTAGAGACGGGTAAAAAAAAAAAGATGATTCCAAGGAAACAAAAATGTTTTCAACGCCAATGAATCGTTGTCCTTTTTGTTTCCAGGAGGGTTTGGACAACCTGCTGCAAGTGCTGGTCAGCCTCCTCAGTTCCGATGACATCAACATGCTTACTTGTGCCACCGGCATCCTTTCGAATCTCACATGCAACAATGCACATAATAAATCCCTGGTCACCCAGAGCAATGGCGTCGAGGCGCTCATACATGCCATACTCCGCGCTGGAGAGAAGGAGGATGTGACTGAACCGGCCGTTTGTGCATTGCGTCATCTGACCTCGCGCCACCAGCAGGCTGAGGTAGCACAGAACGGCGTGAGAACCCACTACGGCATCCCTGCGATCGTCAAGCTTCTGAACCAGCCATATTACTGGCCTGTCATTAAGGTAGTATTGGAGAAAATGATTTTCTTGCCTTGTTTCCTATGCTAATTTGTGACAGAGACGAGCATTTTCGTGATTTTTTTTTTCCTCACTGCCTCCTTTTTTTTCTGTTCTTAAGGCAGCAGTTGGCTTGATCCGTAACTTGGCCCTGTGCCCAGAAAATCAGACTCCTCTCAGAGATGCCGGAGTAATTCCCCGGCTTGTCAACCTGCTCTCTAAAGCCCACCAGGATGCGCAGAAACATGGTTCATCAGCTCAGCAAACATACCAGGTACTAGGAGGGGCTTGTGGGGGGGGTCAGAAACTACACACATAATTAGTGTGTGTGATATCCATTGGCTGAAAAAAAATTAGAAAAAAAAATTAACTGGAGAATTAATATTTTCTTTGTTGTCTTTGTTAACAGGATGGAGTAAGGATGGAGGAAATTATCGAGGGATCCACAGGAGCCTTGCACATCTTAGCCAGGGATCCCACCAATAGAGCTGACATCGCCAGCATGCAGACCATTCCGTTGTTTGTGCAGGTAGAACACCATTGTTGATTGATATTTTTGCCACTGCCATTCATCGGTTAACACCAATAGCAAACTTTTTAGTCTGATCAGTTACAGCGTGTCAAACTCTTTTGTTCATGCAAAGATGTACAAAGTGTCTCTTAGAAAATATTCATGTTTAGCATTAAGTTGTGCATTTTTTTTTTTAACTTTCATTGTTAAAAAATGAAACAATGAAATTATCATTGAATCATATTTTTTTCTATTTTTTTAAAAAAAAAAAAAAATTTTTTCATTTTCAATTTTCTTTTTCAAAATTGAAATTTTTTTTCAATTTTCATTTTTTATCTTTTTTTTTTTTTTTTTTTTAATCATTGAAAAAATGAAACAATCATTAAGTGGGCCAGATTGAACACCCTAGTTTTTTTACCATATGTTTCACACCCTGACTTTAAAGCGGGGGTCAGGAACCTATGGCTCGTGAGACTCATGTATATATATAAAATAAATAATTTCATGCAAGTAAAACATTACAGAAATCATAGTATTAAAATAATCTTAAAAAAAAATCTTTTATTTCTGGCATGAAAACTGTAAACAAATTCAGTCCATTTTGTAGCAACACACAGGTCTTGTGCTGAAAATATGAAAAAAAAAATAAAGGTAAAAATTAAAATAATGAATCAATCAATGAGGGGTGTTGCATTTAAGGACCGTACGGTATATTAAGATTTTTCTTACATCATCATCATTTTTTTAAAAATAACTTTAATGACTTTTTACTAATACTTCCGAGACTTATTATAGTCTAAGTTGTATTCAAAGCAAAAATCTATGGTTCTCACAGAACATACATTTTAAAATATGCGGCTCTCTCTGCTGAAAAAGGTTCCCAACGCCCCTGCTTTAGAGAATCGGAACAAGTGACGTGCGTGGATGCTACATAGACTTTAATGTTCCTGTTTTGTTTGAGCTTCATTACACACTTGCATTCAGAGGAAATACTTTTGGTTCCCTAACATTACTCATACTGTATTCAATACATTACAACTACTGAAGAGGAAGTTTCAACAAGAGTGTCAACAAAAATTTGTCCGCCAAGTTAAAGCGCTGTTTGGGCTGTCCTAGCTTCCTAATGCTAATCCTAAACAGACAGTTCCGAATAATCCGAACTTGCCATGTATGGAAGGTAGTTTTGTAATTTAAATTTTTAAAGCTGGAATGAGCCTGGCGCCAATTGTATGGATGCATGTGTACATTTTTGGGGGGGGGTTTGTTTCGATTGTCATTTCTTCCTTCCATGTTCCAGCTGCTTTACTCACCAGTGGACAACGTGAAGCGCGTGGCAGCGGGCGTCCTTTGTGAACTCGCACTCGACAAGCAGTCGGCTGAGAGCATCGACAGCGAGGGAGCATCCGCTCCGCTTATGGAGCTGCTGCACTCCAACAACGAGGGAATCGGTAAGACGCTCGGAACGTGCCTTTGGAGTGGCCTTTTTAAACACTTTGTTTTGTAAAAAAAAAAATAAAAATATTGTCTACATGATGACATTGATCAAAATGACAAACATCTCATTGACATTACTGAAAAAAAATTTTTTTTTTTTTTTTTTTACAGCAACTTACGCTGCTGCCGTGCTGTTCCGCATCTCTGAGGATAAGAACACTGATTACAAAAAGCGAGTGTCCGTGGAGCTCACACACTCTCTGTTCAAACATGATCCAGTTGCATGGGAGATGGTGAGTGCAGGGAGATGGGCAGGTCTTAGAATTTTATAAAAAAAAAACATAATTTGAAACAACTCGACAACACTTTGGAAATGTCCATGTATTTTTGAATGACTTTTTATGCCGAGGTTTTATCTGATCTTCATTCTCTTGTGACCTCTCTGCAGGCCCACAACACTGTAAGCATGGAGGGACATTATCAAGATGGTAAGTTAACTGTGGCTGAACAGTTCACACGCAACACATTTCTCAATACTACAGTAGTCCTAAGTATCCAAATATGAAAACTTTTCCATGAGATATATTGATAAGACACTTATGTCCTAAAATAAATGACATGAAAAAAGTCATGCATAAAGGCTAAAATGCTTTTATCATTTTATATGCCATCTGTTGGGGAAACATGGGTATTGCAGGGAAAAGACAGAAGTATAATAGCTAACCCTTTGATGCATGACCCATGATATACTGAGTTAAAAAAATGTTACTAAGTGTTTTTCATGTGTTTTTTTTACATAAAAATAAGAAGTGATTTGGTTCTGTTTTTATACACCAAATTTTCTTTTTTAAATGTTGACACAATTATTCTGCAGTTGCAAAGGCTGACCACTGTACGGCAGTGTTGGGTGATTCTCAGGCGTCCACTGTCGAGGCTTATATGCAACACTGCCATCAAACCTATTCTTATCATAGAAAATGACATTTTAATAGCTGTCCACTGTAGTGACCGTCATGCATGAAAGGGATAATATAAATTTGGAAAGGTTTGGCAGGCCGGATTTAAAAAAAAACCTGAATGGGCCGCATCCGGTCCCCGGGCCTTAGTTTGCCCATGCCTGGTCTAACCATTTGGACCACTTTCCCACAGAAAAGAAAACACTGGGAGTAACAAAACCATTTGACTAAAATAAATATAAAAGAGCTACTTGTTTAATACAGACTTCACAAACAATGTAATAATAATTACTTCTGGGACATACAATAGCAGACACTCTTCTTACCATTGTCATTGTCACCATTGTCATTGTCAAAAAAACTAAAAAAAAATTGAACTCTAAAAATAAAATACAGAGTTGGAGGTTACTTTAAAAAAACAAAACTATAAAATAAAAATCTGAACTTAAATCATCCAACTACAGTGTGTAGTTTAGTGTCTGGTAAATGTAATGTCATTTTAGTGAAGTAGCAAGTAGTACATACAAGTACAGTAAGCAGAGTGTAGAAGCAGTAGAAGCGTGTTTCTTTCAAGCTCACCAATTGTACTGGCTGAAAATGAACTCCAAATTTTAATTAAAGTTAAATAGAACTCAAATCTATTAATCCTGAACTATACTAAAAAAAAAAAAAATACTAAAACAATAATTTCTTTTGTTGCAGAGATGGATGGTTTTCAAGCCTACGCAGGTGGACCCTATGCTGACATGCCTATGGACGGTCCCGAGGGAAACATGATGCATGAAGATTACACCGGCAGTGTGGCCTACGACAGACAAGGATACCCTTATTAAAAAGGTCTGTATTCACTCCGATCAAACTTCCTGCAAATTCACAAGCTAAATCAAATAAATCACACACGTTCGTTAAATATATTACACGGACGTCAACGTGTGTGAGGTACGCATGTAATCGAGTATATTGGCGATGTAAGGAGAGACAGCAGTGGGCATGCGCCGAATGGCAACCGTCACAACCGAGACAACACTTACGGCTGCCGCACCTCACCCTTTTCCCCCATGTTTGTTAACAGTAATATGTAAATTCCGCAAATTTTACCATAGAACTGATGAAATGTCAAGTAGACATTTTTTTTTTTCTGTTATCATTGTTAGTTATTTTCTCTGTCTCTACTCCCTGTCTAACTGGGTGTCACTTATTTATAACAGCGAAACATGCACCTACAATCACGGCCTTTCGAAAATCAAATCCCTCATTATTAAAATGAGAACGAAAAAAAAAAAAGACTAAAATCTGTGACGATAACGCAAGAATAAAAACAAATATTGGTTGTTTACAATATCTTTAGCCAAATTTGAAAATGAAAACTTTTTCATTTGGAGTCATGCTAACAAAACTCGCGTGCGTTGGCCCTTTATGGTGGTGCAGCAGGTGGTGCTGTTATCGCTAGAAGTTACTACAACTTCTCTGCCCCCCCTCCCGCCCCCCCCCCCTTCATTCACTTTACTCTTTACTCCTCTGACTATCATTAGCAATAGCAGAGCTCGGCATCATCTGATTGGCTAAATGGTGTGCATGCATGCAACCATGTGTCCATGGCTGCGTCTTGACTTAAGGCGCACTTAAAAGCCTTTCATTTTCTCCGAAATCGACAGTGCGCCCTATAACCCGGTGCGCCTTATGTAATACTTTAGGTTGCGCTTACTGACCTCGAACTGATTTTTATAAAGCCAATGACGTTTAACTCAGATGCTCAACAACAACTGTTACAGTATGGTTGTGTAACCCAAATCCGTGCAACGTCACGTCGTGCCTCCCAACGCTGAAAACGGAGATTTTGAGCTGTGTTTTTGAATTGTCGCTGTATGTTTGCGATGCGGGACGACTTTTGACACATGGCAGTCGAGTTTTTCCCGTAGTCAAGAACTTTTTTTTTTTTAAATCGATACAGGAAAAACACACTCTCTCAAGAAAAATAGTGAGAACCGTAGTGCTCTAAAACAATCACAGTCAGTGACTTTGTCTTTTTTTTTTCTTTTTTTTTTTTGTAGTTGCAGACCTCAATGGAATGGAAGGGGAGCAGGACACAGACATGGGACATAGGAAATGCCTCTGTTTTCATCTTGATGTAATTTGCATTTAGCTTTTAGCAGTACTGGATTATAATCTTAACAGGGTAAACTTTGCTCTAAAGCCTAATTTTTTCCTCATTATACCATTGCCATCGTAAGGGCAATGCTTATAGGTTTCTGTTTTAAATCATTTTACCGTAGTTCTTCGCAGATATGTGTGTAAAAGCGTGTGTTTCCTTTTGGTGGGGTAATTCTTTGCTAGGGAGATTTTATTTGTGACGGTCATAATAGAGTCTCTCTTGTTATTAGAAAAAAGAAACAAAAAAAATTTTTACAGTTGAGACCACTGCCAGGAGGTGACCCAATGTGTACGTTCTCACCACTTTTTCTTTTTTTTTTTTTATAAAAGCCTCTAAAACAGACACTGTGTCTATGTTCCAAGTTGTAACACGACGTATACCTTAGTACTGTGCAAAAGTTTTAGGCCTCTGTACACCGAGTTGGGCAAAGTTTATGGGCGGCTAGCAAAAACGTTTGAAGAAAGCTGCACAGTTCCCCCTTCAGCATCTGGTTGGTGGCTCGTCTTTGTACCCACGATCCCTAACTGTTTTTTTTTTTTGTCTGTTTGTTGTTTGTGGCAGTGCCCGGCTTCTCCTGCTCAGATAGGGCGAAGGGCAAGTGTAATAAAAATGCCCCCCCCCAAAACAGCATTATTTAAATTTGTTAAGTATGTGCTTCTGGTTCAGTTGCATACATATGTACATAAGTACAATTTCAAAGGCTTCCGTAACAATTAAAAAAACAATAGAGAAGATGTAGATTAATTATGATTAACAAAAAAGACAAACAAACATTTCTTTTTTTTTTTTTTTTTTGTTCTGCATGTCGCGGAAACACCTAGTCCCTAAATCCTAGGTTTGGTTGTGTTAGGAAGGGCATCCGTTGTAAATACTTTTCCAAATCACTGTGTTGACAACTGCTGGCCGACCCCTGATTGAAAAGGGACAAAAGTGATTTGTCTTCTTAATATTGCTGAAAAAAAAAACAACAACAAGGAAAAATAACAGCAGCTAGATGTATTTGTTTTATAGCTGTTTTTATTTGAGACTAATCCAAATCATGGAATTATTCAGTTGTAATATGCAAAAGTATAACTTAAAGTGAAGCTTTAAAGATCTTGTTGATTGTAGGCATCACTGTGAATGTCTGACAGCGGGTGTTGAGGTGGTGTTGAGAGTTCTTTTGAGAGGTGTGAAGTCTTCGTCCTGAATAACAGTCATCATTCCGAGTCCCTCGCAATCTTATTTGACAATCCTGATCGTCAGCGTATCAACCCTAGACATGAAGCTGGTTCCCCCACGGGGCGGGGGGTCACTCCTGTAGTTGACGCCTTCACAAGTGCATGCTGGGATGGTATTTTAGGCTGCAGGAGCTGTGGTGAAATTAATGCTTTTATGATTGCGCAATACAAGCAATTAATCTTACTGGAGATGTAGAGGATGTCCTTTAACCAATGGGTTAAAATGTGGTAAAAAAAAAATTTTATTTTGAATAATTTCATACACAGATAAAGCCGATTAATGTGGTCATTCCGACAGCCCTACTTTAAATTCTTAAAAAGGGAAAAGATTTATTTAAAAAAAAATAATAATAATATAACGATAGTTTATGCACCGCCAAAACCTTTGCACAGAACTGTATCTTTCAACTTCCTGTTTGCTGCGTCCTGGCAAACAAGGTGTCTTTTAAGCGTTGTGCAGTGTTGACAACACTTTCATCGTTTTTTTTTTTGGTTTTTTTTTTTCAATTAGTGTTTCTGCTCTTTTACAAATCGTTTACCGGGGAAGGTCCACATTTTCTGTCTGTAACGTTAACGTGTTTTATAGTGAACCAATTCATTATGTGATTGAAATGATGATATAGTTAGGGACTGGCCTACAGCAAGAGCAAACTACTGACAGGTAAATTTATCTTTCTACTTTATTAAAATGTTTTACTAACTTTTCTAAAAATCAAAATAAAGGATATATGAAATCTATTGAAGTGTCGATGTTCACTGGGTGTCTTGATAATAAAACAACTCAAATGAATAACTGGTTTTATTTTTGTTTGGTGCAGTTTCGGGAAACCCAATAACAGCTGTTTAAAAAATGTTACTAAGTGTTTTTAGACATAAAAATAAGAACTGATTTGGTTCTGTTTTTATACACCAAATTTTCTTTTTTTGAATGTTAACACAATTATTCTGCAGTTGCAAAGGCTGACCACTGTATGACAGTGTTGGGTGATTCTCAGGCATCCACTGTAGAGGCTTATATGCAACACTGCCATCAAAACCTATTCTTTATCATAGAAAATGACATTTTAATAGCTGTCCACTGTAGTGACCGTCATGCATGAAAGGGTTAAGTTACGTGCAAATAAGTACCGGTAACAATGTTTTTTTCAATTCCGGACTTATAAGCTGCTATTTTCTTTCCGCATGCTTTGAACAGCTTAAACAATGATGCGGCAAATTTTAGAGATTTTAACAGGCTAACGAAGTTCCTACCACTAGCGATCAATGACTTTCTCCTGGCTCCTGTACGGCACGGCTTGTGCCAACTTTTTCTCATACTCAGATTCTGGGTCAAGATGCAAACCCGTGTCGAGGACGCTGGGTGTGTATAAAAAATGTGACGGACAACGGGAGGGTTAAGGTCAGGGATTTTAAAAATACATTATACCCAAACTGCTGAGAGTCAACCCCAGCACTCAAAAAGTCCAAAAAAAAAAAAAAAAGTATTGTTTGCCAGTTGATCGGAGGGACACAAGTTTCTCAACAGCTCAACAATGTATTGTGCATAGTCCATTACGCCCCAACAGGCTGAGGCGAATACAAGAAGTTCATACTGTTCAAATAACATAAGATTTAACATAACATTGCACCAGGTAAGCATTGTGCCGAGTTTGTTTTTCAAGCAAAAATGTATTATTTCTTTCAATTTTTTTAATCTGCACAACATAAAAAAACAAACAAAAAATAACGTTTCTTTCAATAAAAGCTCTACTTGGCTAACTGTTACAATTTTGTGTGGGTTTCAAAAAAGAAGAATTTCAGTTATTAATGTACGTTTGTAATGGTTCACCGGTAGCTTTTCCCGCCTCTAAGATAAGCAACAATGAAACATTTAAAAAGATTCAGAGTATTAACACCTTCGATTTATTGGTAGCATGGAAAAAATTGAAAAAGAAACACATTCCCCATTCGCACATCTATCATTAATCACAACGTAAATTATCAAGGAGTTAGAGAAACCTTTAATGTTAAAAGACTACCTGGTAAACAACGACCCAGAGATCCATTAGAAACCTATGAACAGTAGCAGCAGAGCAACATCATTATAAGTAGGGAAGGGTGGGAGACGAAGACCAGTTCAAAATACTTTGCGTGGATGACGCTCGAGGTGCGTGTGCAATGTGACCTCTCTTTCTTTTTCAGACGCACTTGATCGTAGAAGAAAAATGCTAACGTTCGTATTTATCTTAAGCTGTATCCAGGCTGTCCATCACCGAGGATTTTCATCATTCACAGATTGCGAAAGATGAATCATGGCAAGAACCTGTTTCCACTTGTTGGTTTCGGAGAGATTTTGTTTAAGTGTTTGTGCACGCCCGTGTCTCAGGATATAGTGGAGAATTCTTTAAGCAGAACGTCCTGACTCATTGTGTTTAAAGAGACATTCTTCCTTACGTTCAGGCTGATGGAACGGACCTGAGAAGGGGATAGAGAGGGGCAACGTTACAATGTAGAAAAACCTTCTAAGACCTGGGGTCTCAATGCTCAACTCAGTTGGGGGTCACTGTTATGAAAAACAAGTGTGGCCACTTTTTTTAATTTGAGACCCCGCCCCTAAACAGTTGGCCAGTCCATTATGGTTTCAGTCTTAAATTTTACTCTTTTTTTATGAACCTCTTCCGCTCTGCTCACACCCAAAGTCCGCCGAAATAAAAAAAGCTAGCAAGTTTTGATGGGACAGTACAGCCCAAGTTTAAAATGTCCAGTTTACATGTTTGCAATTGAATGTCTGGAATTTCTACAAGATCCCACCCAGGACATGTATTGTGTATTTTTATGTTTCCTCAATCCTTAGGTACCGTACCTTTCATGTTCTTTATACATAAGGTACAGGTAGCTTGAACCATTTTAAGCCACTAGCCAGTCACCAGCACTTGTTTACATTGTACACTGGCTGAATCTTTGTTACTGTTTTGTTTTCATATTGGTTAGTGACTGCAATACAAGCGGTGATTACAGCTCAAAATGACACAAATCCAAATCAAATGGAATTGTGATAATCGATTCTTGAAATCTGAACCTATTCCCAGCCCTAAGTTCCACATACACAATCAATGCAAATGATGCAACCGCTTACGATTTAGGTGGTAGTGACGGTGCGATCAGAGCTTTGGAAGTGACGCAATGAAGTGGGGAAAAGTGATTGAGGCAATGCAAAAGAAGTTGTAAAAAAATTGATCTTTTCAGGGTTAGCATTGCGCCACAACATCCAATCAGTGAAGAGCTTACTCCCTGAAGTAAGCAGAGTTTGTAAGTTTGTAAACAATGGCGGACAAGCTTATTGGGACCAAAACATATTATTGGGACTTTCTGTGGCATGTTTTACTACTGTTAGGTGCGACAAGCAAACGAGGCTATGGCCTCAAAATGGTTACAAGATTTTTTTTTTCCGCCGCTGTCACTTTTGGTGTGAATGCAGCTTTATAAGCTAGCAGCTAATTTAATCTCCACTTCCAGAAGCACTACCATCCCTGGGTTGGTTTAAAGTTCATGTAATATTTATCAATGTTTGAGATATGATTATGATAATGACAAAAATAAGATGATTGAAAACATACCAGCTCCTTAAAAAACGCAGCCTCCTTAGGCTGCTCCGAGTATCTCTCAAACTGGTCCAGACCATCCTGCAGTTTTAGTGTAAGTGTGTCGTAGTTGGACCGTACCACCTCCAAAACCTGTTCATGGAAGATGAAAAAAGTCAACAAAAAGTCAAATTTTAAATTCAAGAATAAGATGTTGAGGCAAGGCATTTTTTTAAGCGCATGTAAAAATTTTGTCTTGTCTTTTTTTTACTTTAAAAACAAGCTTAAATGCAACTATACATTTCCAATAGAACACCACTGACCATTTACACCGTCATTTAATGCTGTTCTTCTGCACTTTGTATCTGTAGTACTTTTCTGGATAATGAAAAACCCTGCAAGATCTGCTGATCACTGATTTTTTTTTTCTGAAATTAAATTCGGATTTTCCAATACGTGATTACAATGATCAGGGAGAAAAATTATTTTACAGCCTTTGTCTTTCTGGTAGCTAATACAGCAGCCTCTTTGCATAACACTTGTGGGCCACAATTGTCCTAAAATTGAAAATTGAAATTGTAAAAGTCATGCATAAAAGCTAAAATGCTTTCATCATTTTCAACGCCATCTACTGGAGAAACGTAGATAGCGGAGGGCAAAGGCAGAAGTATCATGATAATATAAATAAATTAAATAATTTGGCGTTTTTTGGGGTTAGGGCCGGATTAGAAAGCTGAACAGGCCGCATACAGGCCCCCGGGCCTCAGTTTGCCCATGCACTAGAGTGTATTACAAGGTAAGATTACTAACGACCTACTCATGGCCTCAGACAACAGGCTACCATCCATACTGGTCATATTAAAGCTTAGTGCTGCTTTTGACACGAATAATCAAAATATACTATTACAGAAGTTGAATAAATATATATATATATATAGATATATATATATATATATGTGTGTATATATATATATATATGTATGTATATATATACATACATATATATATATATATACTATACATATAGTATATATATGTTTATATATACTATATATATATACTATACATATAGTATATATATGTTTATATATACTATATATATATACTATATAGTAGTATATACTTCTATAGTGTATATATATATATATATGTGTGTATATATATATATATATGTGTGTATATATATATATATATGTGTGTATATATATATATATATGTGTGTATATATATATATATATGTATCTATATATATATATATATGTGTGTATATATATATATATATGTGTGTATATATATATATATATACACACACACACATATATATAGAGTATAAACTTGCTGTACACTTACAGCTGTGTTGCCTTCATTTAAGTCTTTTATAAGGTTTTTATTTTTTTTGTGGCTCCAGACAGATTTCTTTTTGTTTTTCTTTTTGGTCCAATATGGCTCTTTGAACATTTTGGGTTGCCGACCCCTGGTTTAGGCGAACAACAAGGTGCACCGTGGCTCCCCTATGGTTAACCTTACTTCCCTTATTTGTAACACAAACAGCAAGAGTTGACTTTTCCTGACTCACTGTCAAATACTTTCAAGCTAAAAAAAAAAAGGTTAGCTTAAGCTTGAGGGTTTGAACTTCTGTTCTTCGGCACACAAGCCAAGCATATATTGATCCAGTGGGGAAAACTAGAAATACATGTGGTGGCCAAATACGGTCACTTGTTGATGGATTTTTAATGGAAGGGGGGGGAGTACCAAGTTATCAGGTCATGAGTGTGCTGCTGGAAATGTCAACATTTAAAGTTAGATCATTCGTTTTTCTACAGTTATGCTACACTGGTATGTTATTTGGCAAAATGCATATACCGTTGATCATAGGACGTCGGTAGTTCTTACCTGTTCCTCCGACAGCTGCGAAATGTGGTTCAAGGCAGTGTAAGACTCGATCTTTGGGTTAAAATGGTTAATGATGGCCCTGAAAAAAAAAAGAACAAAACAAAAGTTGTCAGATAACAGTTAGGCAAATTTAAACCTTAGAGAGAGGTTTTATGGTGTGTAAAACAGTGCCCCGCCCCCACCCCCCCGACTCCCCTCCTTGAAAAATCTGCCCAAGAAGCACTGGAACTACAAAGTGACCACCATCTTTCAAAAAAATAGTGAAAATGAAAAACTTGGCAGTTTCAGTGTAATGCAATGATAGACTTTTTTTTTTTTTTTGAAGAATAAACAAAATGTACAAAATGACACAAAATGACTTCAACTTTACACAGACGACTAACTGCGGAACTTATTATAGAAACACGCCACAGATACAGATATAAACCTCAAAAGTGGTACAACAATTTGAAGAGGGCACTCTAGGCTTGTCTGCTACTCCTGTAAATCTGAAAATGTACATGTTCGTTATTCTCTCACTGACAGCCACTAGAGGGCACTCTAGCACTCTTATACTCCACAGTTGGCTTATAGTCCGGAAAATACGATAAAATGTTCGCCAAGATGTTTTTCGCAAGAGGTGTAAGCACAGAGCACTAACATTCAGCACACTGTATCATAGTAGAAGCATGCAAATGTTTACCTAATATTGACAAGGGCATACGTGACTTTGCTTGCTGCTTCTTTCCACTGGCCCGTGTTGGTCGATACCCTCAGAACTAGAGGACAGGGAAGTAAATATTTTTAGATGACTCCTGTAAACTCTGCTATTCTTTGCCTTTGTACATTCTGTTTCGAGGTAAAAGCAGGATGCAGAGTTATACGTACGTACATACATACATACATACCCATGCAGTAAAGGTTATCAAAGACCTGGTGCATTCGTACAATTTCGTAGTATAGCTCGTCGTAGCTATTCGAAGAGGGCAGGAACGTGTCACCATATGTTATGAACATATTGAACAGGTTCACTACCTGTAAAGGAAAAAAAAATATATGGTTTTATATTTTGGTACACAAAATTATACCAATGTTGCAATGCATGACGGTCACTACAGTGGACAGCTAGGAAAATGTCATTTTCTATGATAAAGAATAGGTTTTGATGGCAGTGTTGCATATAAGCCTCTACAGTGGACACCTGAGAATCACCCAACACTGCCATACAGTGGTCAGCCTTTGCAACTGCAGAATAATTGTGTCAACATTCAAAAAGAAAATTTGGTGTATAAAAACAGAACCAAATCAGTTCTTATTTTTATGTCTAAAAACACATAAAAAAACACTCAGTAACATTTTTTAAACTCAGTATATCATGGGTCATGCATCAAAGGGATATTCATGTAGCATAAGACTAGCGGGTGAGAACGACCACGGCTAATGGTAGCCTTACTAAACCCTTACCCTTAACATAACTGCTTGTTAACAAGCAGGAAGGAAGAGTGCGGAGAGGCGATAAAGAAATAGACCTGAAACAAATCTCGCTGCAACACTGTTGCACAAGAGGTTGAACAATTACCGTATTTCCCAGACTATAAGGCACACTTTTTTTTTATCCTTTGGCTGGGTTGGCAAATTATACTCTGGTGCCTTATACACTAAAATATATAATTTCACATGTTTATTATTTTCACACTGACAGCCACTAGGGGGTACTCTAGACTTGTGTACCAGTATCTGCTACTCCTGTACCACTGAAATGTACATGTTCGTTCATTTCAGACTGACAGCCACTAGAGGGCACTCTAGGCTTGTGTACCAGTATCTGCTACTCCTGTACCACTAAAAATTTAAATGTTTACTATTTTCACACTGACAGCCGCTAGGGGGCACTCTAGACTTGTGTACCAGTATTTGCTACTCCTGTAAGTCACTTTTTTTCATCCTTTGGCTGGAAAGACATATAGTCCGGAAATTACAGTGAAAACAAAACACAGACCATATGTCATTACCTTAGAAATGTTTAAATGTTTGTAAAAGGTGGGGGGGGGGGGGGTTTATCAATTTTGCGAATGAATCAAACATCAGTACTTGAACCCTTCCGAGGTTGAACATAGCAAAAACAGAGCAATTCAAAGTTACTGCAAAAAAAAACAGTACGATCTGTTGTGAGTTTTAATTGCTGATCGGTGTATATTTAAACTAAAAAAATAGGGAAAATGTAACCATGTTGACTTCAACAAGGACTCTTTTCTCCTCTTACTGGAAAAATAATCTGGTAAAGTCATTTGTGTGTGTGTGTGTGTGCATTTGTCTGGTAAAGTAAAAATGGTAAAGTCATGTGTGTGTGTGTGTGTGTGTGCATTTGTCTGCGTGTCCCTCACCAGCAAAGCCAAATGAAAAATGTTGTGCTTGACGAGCAGTGTTGTCTCATTGGAAAGCAGGAACTTCACAAGGTTGATTAGAGCTGGAAGTAGAATAATATGCATGCATAAGTCACCCTGCCTGCAGTACTTTAAGAAAGTGTGTAACAGCAAAAGTGTGGGACAAAGTATTTTAACCTGGGAGTATATTGTTACTAATAAATGATTGTAAAAAATTAATATAAAAAAGGGAAAAGGCATTCAAGCAAATAAATAAAAAAAAAAAAAAAACTTACTAAAACTTACTGAAATGTTTTAAAACTACAACACGCTAAAACTTCTATTTACTGTACTATTTTCTGTCACAGATTCAAGGGAGGGTTGGTGTTATTCAGTGGAACAATGTAAAACCTTGCTGAATTGAATCCAGGAACAGCCTACTTACTGTACAAGAACAGAAAGACAAATAAGAGCTGCTAGATAACTGTTTGAGAGTTGGCCTGAGAAACGTTGCTAAAATCGCAAAAGAAAGTCATTGTTAGCGTTACATTAAATGATTATGCTGATTTTCCTAATACAAGTCATAAGTTGCTTTGCAAATAAAAGGTAACAACAACAGGTAAGGCAAGGTTTCGATCAGGTGTGAGCAAGCTTTTTGACCCGCGTGGTCCTAACATTTGACGGGGGGGGGTCAGGTCAGGAGCAGATAGATGAAGCGTTCATATGAACTAGAACTAAGAATTGAGGAAATGCAGGCACCGCAGGGAAAAGGAAGAAGTATAATGATGGGAATAAATAACATCATTTGAGAAAAGTATGGCAGGCCGGATTAAACAGCCAAATGGGCCGCATCCGGCCCCTGGGCCGTAGTTTGCCTAGCCTGTTTTAGATGGTTTAGACGATGTATGGAGGAAAGAGAGTGAATATTTGACAAAGGATGTTGGCGACATCTTGTGGCAGGGCAATAAAATGAAAATACATTATATATTATATATTGCAAAAAACTTTTTTTGTACTTTTTTTATATATATATATATATTTTATTTTATTTATTTATTTTTTTTGGTGTTGGTGACTGCTACTACTTTTTTTTGTTTATCATCAAAAATGTTTACGATTTTTATTTTATTTGGATATTTATATTTTAATGTGTATTATAATTTTTATTTGTTATTTTAAATCTATTATATTGGGTCATTTATCATTTTTAAGAAATTAGTACTTCTAGCGGAATATGGCATAAGTGTACCACTGGACATACAGTGGGTACGGAAAGTATTCAGACCCCTTTAAATTTTTTGTCACTCTTTGCTTCATCGCAGCCATTTGCTAGAATCAAAAAAGTTCATTTTATTTCTCCTTAATGTACGCTCAGCACCCCATCTTGACAGAAAAAAAAAAACAGAAAATGTAGACATTTTTTGCAAATTTATTTAAAAAAAGAAAAACTGAAATATCACTTAGCAAATGGCTGCGATGAAACAAAGAGTGACAAAAAATTTAAAGGGGTCTGAATACTTTCCGTACCCACTGTAAGCGTACCACGACTGTAAAGCTTGAATGATAACAAGCCTCTAGGTGGCACCAACTCAATAATAACACATGTTATCAAGTTCTCAATAGTGTTTCAATTCACAGGGCATGACAAATAATAATTGAAAACCACTGTTTTAAGGGGAAGGTTCAAAGAAAGTTAAATATTACCACTAGTGGTTCAGTATTGAAAAAATAATTCTGATTATAATTTTTTTTGTCAATAATTGAACAGCCCAAAGATAAGGCAGAAAAAAAGAATTTCTACAGTTTCAGATCAACTTTTAAAAATGAGTAATGTATGGTTTAAGTGCTTCAAAGTTTCAGACTCATGGGGCACTTTGTTTAAAAAGTAAAGACGGTATGATAAAAGTGATTATTATTACCTGACCACAGCTCTCTCCAGGTATAGTGCAATCGGATTCTGCATTTCTTCTGGTAACAAAGGAGTTTATGGATGATCTGAACGCAGCGTCTACACAAGAAAATAAATCTCATTGTCTCATTGTGTGTGTGTGAAAACAGAATATTACACGTATGTGTTGAGTGTCTCATTGTGTGTGTGTGAAACAGAATATTACACGTATGTGTTGAGAATGTGATCTTACAGGTATAAATCCATTGGAAAATCCTTCATCATATGTGTAACAATGAACTCCACCATCAGGTCTTAAAGAGGGAAAAAAAAACCAAAACATTACTTATCAAATGTTAAAGCGAACAGGAAACCAAACCATGATGTTAAAATTATTACAAATAGAATAAAATATTTGTTAAGTTTGGAAGATGTAAACTAATATGGGTATAAACACACACATATATTAGGGCTGGGTAATGATTAAAAAAAAAAGTCACCTTGATTGATTGCACGACTCCCTCTGATTAATTGCAATTCAATGGAATTCTTACGCAAAATCCAATTATTAATTTAGAAGTAGTGTAGTGTATATCGCACTTTTATTTGAAATTTACTGCAGTACAGACAAAAGTGCCATGACATTCGCACACTTTTAACACCAGCCTTTTTTTTAATACAGTAGCATTTAAATAAATACGTACTCTTGAATGTAAATCTGAAATTAAATAATCTAATCAAAGCAAGCAACAGACTTTTACAAAATAAAAAGCCGGTGGAAGACAGACGTTTACAGTAATAAAAGAAATAATAAAAAAAATTTGTGCGAATGCATGAAAAAAAGAATTGTTGGCATTAATTATTTAATGACTCAACACGATAATAACACGTTAATTTGCCCAGTCCTAATATATATGTTTTGGTGTATATATGTATATATGCGTATATATATATATATATATATACACATATATACATATATACACATATA